TTATTAATTTTCGAGAAAAACGATATTCGATTTCGATTGAATTCAGATTCGATTTCTCGTTTTGTCGTCGTTTTTTTTTTCTCCGGAAAATTCACGGTACTTTCATTCTTAGATTGACATTTTTTTTTTTTTTGAAATTTCCAAAGGGTGAATTCCTAACGAGTTTTTTTTTTTTTCAATACCGAAAAATTTTCCATCATCATCATCATCATCGTATTTTCCCATTTAAATTTTTTTTCATAAAATGTTTCTTTTTACATGAAATCAAATCGATGCGAAATAATAATAATAATAATATCTGGGAAATTTCTCTCTTTCTCTCTCTCTCGTTTTTCACTATTAAATTTTTTTTTTTTTAAATTACTCGAATAAAAATTCTCTTACTCCCTTCTCCCCCTCATTTTTACTTTTCATAACATTTTTCCAGCACGTGAGAGAGAGGGAGGGGGGAAAGAGTAAATTGAGGTTTTACGAGGTCGACAGAAAAAAATATCATCATCATCAAAATCATTTATTTCTTTATTTTCTTAACCGTAAAAAAAAGAAAAAGTAATTTTTCCCGAGAGAAGCAACTGGTAGCACGTTTTAAATCTTAAACAAACCAGTGGTAACTCAAGTAAAAGGAAAAAAGGAAATAATAATAATAATAAAAGAAAAAATATACGTGAACGAAACGAGTAGGAGTAGGAGAGTAAAGAAAAAATTGTATAAGGTAAAAATTTTGTGGTGTTCACGTTTTTCCAAGGCAAAGGATAAAAGAAAACAAAAAAAAGAAAATAAGAAAAGAATAAAAGGAAAGAAAAAAAAGGAAAGAAATTTTTTTTTTTTTTTTTAAAAAGGGTTGAAAATACTAAAAAGTTTTTTTTTTTTTTTTAACAAAAGAAAAGAAACAAGTTATTTTCTGTTCTTATTTTTTTTTTTTTTAGATACAATTCACGCCTTTAAGCTATTTTTCCTTTTGTACACAAAAGGTCACTTTAATTTTACCTCTTTTCTTTCCCCCCTCCACCTCTCTCCACTTTTCTATCGCTCTTCAAATTTTCTCCCTTCCCTCGACGAAATAAAAAAAAAAAATTTATTTGGGTTGTTGTTGTTTGGTTTAATAGCGTACAAAAAAAATCGGAAAAACAAAAGGAAAATTATTTTTAAAAAATTACCCGGGAAATTTTTTTTTTTTCGAGGGGATGTGAAAGGCGAGGGGTTGGAGGAGGAGAAAGGGTTAAAAAAATTATTAAATTGAAAGAAAACGTTTTGAAATTTAACGAAATTAAATTTTTTTTTTTAAATTAACCAAAAAAAAAAAAAAATTCCAGGAGAAACCTTTTCGATTAGACAAATAAAAAAAAAAGGTTTAATCAAAAAAAAAATTCAGTTTTTTTTTTAAAATAAGAGTAGAATGGAGAAAAGGGGATGGGTGGGTGTGTGTGTGTATAACAGTACTACGAGGGGTAAGAAAAGAATTTTTTTTTTTTTTTTGGGGGGGTAAATCGATTTTGGTTAAAGAATTCAAAAGACGCCATCGTTAACAATTCTCTTTCTTTTCCTTTTTTTCCTTTCCTTTCCTTTTTTTTCTTTCTTTTCCCGAGGTTATAGTTAAAGACGTATAAAAAGAGAATATTTTTCTCCAGTTGAATGCCAAAAAAGAAGTTCATTAGGAAACAAACTAAAGGAAAGAGAACAAATAGAAAAACGTGTCGGGAATAAATTTTGAAATCAACGGACGAAACCTTCTTTCCCTTAAGTATTTTATGTTTTTTTTTCCTTTTTCTTCTTCCACTTTGGCGTTTATTGGTCTCGACAGAATTTTTTTTTTTTACAAGAAAATGTTTATATATATGTGTGTAAAGAACACACACACACGTAAGAAAGAAAAACCTTTTTCCAGACATTTTTTTTTACCCTTTTGAACTTTAAACAATACCTACGTTATTATAAGAATAAAAAAAAAAAGTTAACGAACGAATTTAAAAAAAAAAAAACCGTTAAAAAAAGAAAGATTGATGTGTACGTATAAAAAATACATTTAAATAAGAAATGAAAATCTCATGGTTTAAAATGAGAGAGAGAGAGAGAGAAGTCATTTTGAATTTTTATAATAATCTGAAAAGCTTTTTTTTTTTTTTTTTCAAAATACGATGATAAAAGCTCTCAGGTAATCTTACAAAATCAACCTGGGATAAAATGGATTCTCAAAACCCTCCCCTCTTATTATCGATCCCCTCCCTTCGACCAATCAACGAAGGGGAAGAGTGAAAATAATATACGAAAAAATTTAAAAGGAGAGGAAATAAAGATGAAGGAGTGGGGAGGGGAAAAAAAGTCAACGATACGTGAGTAATTTTCCATTCACCCACACTCACGCCCCCTCCCCCTACCACGTTTTTTCTTTCTTTTTAAACTCCGCCCATTCGAATTTAAATTAATAAATAACAGTGACGTAACTAACCTAATTTAATAAAAAAAAAAAACAAAAAATTTTTCTTATCTTTTTTACATACTCGAATTGTTGGGGAGTTGGGGGGGGAGGAGGGAATCGTTAGACTATGTCCCAAAATTTATATACGTCATCGTCGACGTCATCGTATTCTTTATAATCTGGTTAATCACGAACTCGAAAAAAAAAAAATTTTTTTTTTTTTGTACGTACGTTAATTATCATTATCATTAACTCGGAAAAGTTTTTCAAATGAAAATAAAATATTATTATTATTATTATTATTATTATTATTAATATTATTATTATTATTATTATTACGATTTTTTTTGTTACTCTTCCGAAAAGCTCATTTAAACTTTTTAGGTAATAATTTTTTTTTGGAGTTTTGATTCGAAAGGATAAAAAAAAAGTTTTTTTTTTGTTGTTAAAGAAAGTAATAACTTCCTCTTGAACAAAAAATTTTTATTACGTTAATAAAATTATTAGTATAGGAGAAGGGGGGAGAAAGAGGGAGAGGGAATAGATAATACGAGAAAAAGTGAGGGAAGGGAGAGAGGGGAAGGGGTATGAGAAATATGAAAGTAAGAATAAAGAAGGAAAAAGAGTGAAGGAGGTTATGAGTGGGTGGGGTTTAAGAGTCAAATAAAGGGGGCAATGAGAGAGGAGTGGGTATAAGTGGGGATAGAGGGGAAGTAGGGGAAGGGAGGGGAAATCGATATATTTTTCACTCGGTTGTAATTAAATTTTTACCGAACGATCGATCGATTTTTTTTTTTTCGGTATTTGTTTAGTTAATCGTAAACAAATAAATACTCGGAATAATGAGTGATTCGATACTTTTACGTCAAATTACGTATTTATTTATTTACTTATTAGCGAGAGTAAAAAAAAAACAAAATGGCGGTCAAAAAAGAAAATGGCGGTAATGATAAATAAATTTCTTATCATAAAAATTTTTGACATTTTTTTTTTTTTTTTCGGGGCTGGGGGGGAATTTAAGATAGTAAATTATTTAAATGAAAATTGTTAATAATAATAATAATAATAATGATAGGAATCACGTGACAATTTTACCGGATACATTTACATGAAACCTTGAAAACGTGTATATACACATGTAAGAAAAAAAATAAAAAATGTTTGTATTACGTTTGTTGTTGTTTGTACGTATTTTTTTTTTGTTTGCTTGTTTTTATTTGAATTAAATTACGTTATTTAATTTTAATACGTTTTATTTAATAAATTTTTATTTAAATAAGAGTGGAAAAAATTTTTTATTTTTTATTCGATCTTGTAACTCTTAATGAGTTAAACATTTCATTATTATTATCGTGTTTTAATAGTAATTTCGACGTTTCACGTAATTTTTTTTTTTTTAAACAAAAGTTTTCCGTAGGTACGTGATTGAAATAATTTGTTATCAATCGTTATCGTTATCATTTTTTTTTTAAAAGGATACGAAAATGTTTCGCACAATCGTTAAAATATTAATTTTAATATTTCCGATAACAACCGGAGCAACCGTTATTATCGATGGAATAAATTTTTTTGATAATTTAAGGTAGTATGAATAAATTATTATTATCATTATCATTATTATTATTAAAAAATTATTATCGAATTATATCGGGTAATAAAATTATTTCTAATAAATTATTTTCTTCGTACCTTTTCTTTTTTTTCATTTTTCTTCTTATTCTTTTTCTTTTGCTTTTTTTTTAACATTTTCATCTCTCTCTCTCTCTCACTCTCTCTCTTTTCTTCATTGCCACCCATAAAAAAAAAAACGAAAAAAAGAAAGAAAGAAAAAAAAAAGAAAACCTCGTTCCCAATTGTTAAATTGAATAAAATGTAATTTATAATAAACCTTTCCCTTTAACCTTTTCTTTTCTCTCTCTCTCTCTCTCTCCAACTCTCTTTCTCCCTCTTCCTCCCTCCTTCTTTCTCTCTCACTTTTTTAACGAAAAAAAAAAAAATTAAGTTATCTCTTGTTTCCGTTTGGCTGCCCTTAAAAAAAATATTAACCTAAATTTATTGTCCATCACCCTCAAGATGAGATTCTTTCACTCGTTGAATTTTTTTTTTTTTTTTTCTTTAATTAAATTATGTACCCGTGGTTGGTGGGGTAGAAGTCAGTTCAGTCTGGAAAGTGGGGTGGTGTGGGAGGGTGGTCGTCGTCACACAGTTTTGCAAATTTAATTTTAAAAAAAAAATAAAATTTTTCCATTCCTAAAATTTTTCGTTAGCATCGCGATTCGCTAAAAGTACGTAACATTATTTTTATTATTATTATCATTATTTATACGTCACGTGACGAAACGAATTATTATTATTATTATCATTCACGTAGGAAAAAATTTAAATTAAAAAAAAATTTTTTTTCTTTTTTTTAGTCCATCGGAATTGGATTCGATAAAAAATCAATATATCAGTAACGTCGGTGAGTATTTTTTGTTTTTTTTCGGGGGGGGGGGCAGAAGAAGGGTGAAGGAGGGAAGGGGAGAAGCATCCTCCAAACGAAAAATTGTAATCAAAATTTTTTAAATAATTTTTTTTTTTAGAAATGACAAACGACGGAAATAATTTATTAAACGAGGATTGTTTTCATTATAAAAGAAAAGTACCGGAGAAAAAATATATATACCTAGGTACGACGATGTTTCCGTTAACGTTCAAAGAATCAAGAAAAACAAATAGCGATTATGATGATGTACCTGACTCACCACCGGAAATAAGCTCATCAAAAATTGATGATTTATTAGAAATTGAAAAAATGATAAGCGGATCGAATAGGAAAGAAGTTTTTCCGCCACCGTCGTCATCATCCCAATCGTCGTCGGTTCCACCTGTAAAAAGACAAGCGAAAATTTCGTTTTTGGATGGTTTACCATTGCGTAAAAGAGGAAAAAATCAACCGCGTTTTAAAAATTAATTAATTATGTTAATTACAAAAGAAAAAAAAATTAAACCGCCATTTTTTTTGTCGCAATTTTATGAAAAAAAAAAAATTCGAAAAAAATTTTAATTAAATAAATAAATTAAATTTCAAATCTATTTTTTTTCTTTTTTGTTTTAATTTTATTATTATTATTTTTTTTTCTTTTTTGTACGAATGAAAAAGAAATTTCTAGATTAAGGAAAAAGAAAGAAAGGGAGGGAGAGAGAGAAAAAAAGAAAAGCAAAACTAATATTGGAAATGTGAGAAAAAGAACGCCTGGTTAAAGCGTGAGGAATGAGAAGAACAACCAAGAGTCAGCTGTCGCCTTAAAAAGAGATGAGCAGTGAGAAGAAAATCACATTGAAAAAGGGATTCTGTTGGGTGGGGAGGCTGGTGGGGGAGGGAGAGACGGTGGTAGAAATGAAAAAAAACGAAAAAAAAAGGGATGAAAAGAAAAAAAATAGAAATGAAAGAGAGAGAGAATAAATCCTCTGAAATTCACTCAGCCAGATAAACAACTAAGGATAGCTTTTATCAAATCTATTTGGCAAATTTTTTTTTTTTTTTTTTAAATTATCCATTTTAAGAAATGAAAAAAAAAATTTTTTTCCTTCTTCTCCTTCTCCTTTTTCTTCCTTTTCATTTTTTCCTTTTTTTTCTTTTTTTTTTACTTTCATTTACTGTCAAAACAATCAAAATCTGACTTCTTCATTTTTACTGTCTGTCTGTCTATCCATTTTTATCACTTTTTCTTTTTTTATCATTTCTAATAATTTAAAAAAAAAAAAAACATTTATTTCTCCTCCTCTCTCTCTCTCCCTCTCTCTCCCTCTTTTCAAAGTTTTTTTTTGTCGTAATAAAAGAAACAAAAGAAAAGAAAAAAAGAAAAAGGACAATTCCATTAGCCATTTTACTGTTTTCTGATATTGAAACAATTTTTGAATTAAATAATAAAATAATTTTTCCATTGTTTCCAGTTGTTTTTATTTCTTCTTCTTATTCTTCCTCCTCTTCCTCCTACTCCTCCACTTCCTCGATGGCTAAAATTTTTGTTTTTATAACAAAAATAAAATTTTTTTCGAATAGAAATAAAAAGTAACGATGATGAAAATATCACAAAATTTATTTTAAAAAAATTGATTTCTTCTAGTGATAATGACGTTTTGATAACGGCCTGACCTATTATCGTTTAAGGTATACTGATAAGGGAATAAAAAAAAATCAACGAATATTTTAGTGCGTGCGTGTGCGTGTGCGTATGGGTTAAACCCTCGAAATTTTACAATAATAATAATAATCGTGATTTTTCAACCGTGATAAAGGAAATCGTCGATAAAAAAAAAGGAAAAAGAAAAGAATAAAAAAAAAAGGAAGGAAAGAAAGAAAGGAAAGGAGAGAGAAAAAGAGAGAGATAGAGAAGTAACATCAAAAGGCAAACGTTAAGAGGGTAGAAAACAAATGAAGAAGAAACACAAATTTCCAAACGAATAATTTTTATTGAATGACTCAATCAGATTCGGTTTGCGTACGTGCACGCGCACGCACACACGCACGCGAATGCTTACACGTGACCATAGGAAACCAGTTAATGGAATGATACAATCTATTCCATTCTCTCTCTCTCTCTCTCACAAAATGAGTCGATGGTTTGAAAAATGGCAACAGCTACAAAAAAAATTTTTTTTCTCGAAATCCAACAGGAAACTTGATTCGAACCGAAATTCCTGTATATATATAATCATTTTCTCTATTATTATTATTATCATTATTATTATTATTATTATAATTTGAATTTATGAAATTCAATGTATAATGAAAATGAGGACAATGGAAGAAGAAGAAGAAGGAGGAGGAGGCGGTGGTATTCGGTGTGTGTAACGCCGGGTGTAACGTCGTCTCCTATGATTTACGAACTTATAAACCATAAAAGAGTTTCAGAGGGGGGTTAAAAGAGAGAGAGAGAGAGTGAAAGAGAGAGTAAAATAGGAATAATGCGGCCAAGATATACACAATTTTCATATCGTGAACATTGCATTAAAACTTATAATAATAATAATAATAATAATGATAATAAAGTCACGTTTGTTTCGTTTAGAAAAAAAAAGGTAACGAATCGAATATAAATTTATTATATACTATAAAAATAAAAAAAAAAAGAAGAAACAAAGTCGGATATCGTGGGCGGAGATTTTTGAAAATGAATAATAAGGGCGGGCGGGCGGGGGAGGAAAGGAGGGGGGTCGAGAAGGTTATTAAGGTTGATTAAAAATTTTAAACGTTCCATTAATGCCAAATTTTACAGTAAATAATACCTAAAATTTATCTCACGCGAACGAAATATTAATTTTTCGGGTCAGCCATGTTGCCCCCGAGCGTGAATCTTCAAAAACCCCGAATAATAATAATAAATTATATGCTCTGATAAGAAATTTTATTTTTGCTCCCGTTCAGATTCCCGGTTAAATAAAAGCAAAAAAAAAAAATTTTTCACCCGAACTCTGAACTCTCGCACGAACGCACGAACGAACGCACGTACGCACGCACATTCACGCAATTACTTTGTTAAGTAAAAGCTAATAATTTTATCCTTTCCCTTTCCCATTCCTCCGCCCCTCCCCTCCGCCTCCCCCCTCCTCTTTCGTTTATATACGTTAATTTAAATTATTATTATTATTATCATTAATAAAATTATTTCGTGGCAATAGAATGATCGATGACTTTTCGAAACAAAAAAAAAATATATATAAAAGAATGAGAAAGGAGGAGGAAACGTGGTTCTAGAAAAAAAAGGAAAAAAACTATAATGTCATTTATATAGGTCGTATTATTTGGTAAAGTCTAGATAATAGAAATTAAAAAGTCACCGCATTTCCCAAAGGAAAAATTTACGTTTAAGAAAAAGGTCACCGAGACTAATCAAAAAAACTAAAACGGAAATTTTTTTTTTCCTTCTCCCCTTTTCCCCGACACCTCCCCTCCCCTCTCCATCCTTCGCCACTCCTCCCACCTTTTATTTTTGCCGTCATTTGTGGGTCTTTTTTTTTTTTTTAAAGAATTATTTCATCCGCCATTTTCTTTTTTTTAATTATAAAAAAAAAAAAAAAAATTTCCTTTTCTTTTTCCACGTTTTTTTTTTTTTGTAGGGTTTAACTTCCGGTTATGATTTTTCTACGATTTTAAATATTCGGTACTCGATATTACGACAGCAACGTGCTGCGGGTTCGTTTCTCTCTCTCTCTCTCTCTCCCCTCTCGCTATAAAATCTCGTCGATATTTTATTACGCCCCTCTTCCCCCCTCTTCTCCCTTTAAAATTTTTTATTTAACACTTTAATTATTTTTTATCGCAACAGTCTGGATGGTGTGAGAAAAAAAAATTTTTTTTTCCTACAGCAAAATAAAAATAAAATAAATACATTAAAAAAAAAAAAAATACTCGAAGAAGTTATAAATAAATTTCTTTCTCCTCTCTCTTTCTCTCTCTCTCTCTCTCTCTCTTTTTTAAATTTATGTTAAATTTTTCATGAAAGCTGGATTTTGTTTTCATGCATTTTTTTCCTTCTTTTTTTTTCTCTTCCATCCTTTTTTTTTTTTTTCATTAAAAACGAGGGAGAGGGAAAAGAGAGAAAAAAAATTTCAACTGCTTGCCTGCCACGTTTTTTTTTTTTTTTTTACTTCTTCTTCCTCCACTTTAACACTTCATATTTTAGACATTTTATTCCTTGTTTCCTTTTTATTTTACTCATATGCACACGCACGCACACACACATACACACACACACACACGAGACAAAAAAAAAAGGAAGAACAAGAAGTAGAAGTAGAAGAAAAAGTAAAAAAACTTGGTAATATATTGCTTTTGTTATTCGTGATAGGGGGATAAAAAACGGCGAGGAGGAGAGGGAGGGGTAGGGGTGTGAGGGGAAGAGCGGGGGGGAGAAAGGGTGAGAAAGGGAACCTAAAAATATAAAATATGCTGAGAGTTATTAAATATTGCACACGTTTTTAAACAAATTTGTTGCTTTTTCTTTTCTTTTTTCATAATATTCTGTTTTTTGTCTTTGTCTAAAAAATATATATACACACACATACACTAAATTTTATTTATTCCAACAGATGATGTCATAAGACTTTTCCTTTTTTCTTTCTCTCTTCCCCTACCTCCCACCTTCTCTTCTCCCTCAAAAAAAAAATTTAAAGTTTTTACGTTTTCCTTAAAAAAAAAAAATCATAAAATTTTTTTTGTTACGGATTTAAAAAAAACGACAGCACTAGAATTTTACCACGTTTTGTTTTTTAATAATAATAATAATTATTATTCGTAAAGAAGTCGTTAACGATCAAAAATTGTTTTTTTTTTTTTTTAAAGAGAGAGAGAGAGACTGGGAAAAGGTTGTTGCCTGTGGTAGATAAAAGTAAAAAAAAAAATATATAATTTGAAACAGAAAAAATATTTGAAATGGAATTCAAATAACGCGAAAAGAGGAGTAGAAGGAGGAGGAAGAAGAAGATGAAGAAGAAGAAGAAGGAATCATTCAATGGGAAATAAATTATGCAGAAAATTGAAAAATTTTCAAATGAAAAATATAAGAAAACTCATTTTTTTCAATTTAAACTTTTTTTTTTCTTCGCTCCTCTTTTTACTTAAAAAAAAAAAAAAAACGAAATAAAAATAGTAAAGGAAAAAAGTAAAGGAAAAAAGTAATGGAAAAAAGGAAAAGTGTCAGAAAAGTTCTTTGACAAATTTAAAAAAATACCGACACCGCCACCACCACCACTGCCGCCATCACCACACGTATGGAAATAAACTTTTTTTTTTTTTTCGAAGTAAAAAAAAATTCAAATCAAAGTTAAGGAAAAAGTGCGTTGTATTTTTTTTCTTTCCCTTTTGTGTTCTTGTTTCGCCACTGTCCTTTTGTTTGTTTAAGGGATGAAAAAAAAAAGAAAAAGTGGTTGAATGAAAATGTTATTCTTAAACATAAGTCAGTTTATGAC